GTGCTGAAGGGTCAGAAGATATATATCAAACTTTCTCCGCACGACGTCTCAAAATGCAGAATCGAGTAACGTGTTGGAAAAATAAATGTATGTACAAGCCGTCCTGTTTCCACATTTTCCACTAATTTTATTTTCTTTTCATCTATTGTACGAAGAATTGAAATTAAACAGCGTTATATCTCTCTCGGAAAATCTGCCGTTGCTCGGGTAGTTATTGTATCAATTAAGCATATAGATCTGAAATTCGAGATGTACGCTCATCATTACTTCCTTGATTCACCCTCGTTGTCGTATCTAAAAGTCCATGAAGTCTCAAATCAATGATTCAGACCTGCAGAAAATAGCAATTCCAAGTTACATGCCTCGGAAACCACCAGGCATATTTGAAACGTTAAATATCATGTTAGATGGAGCAGATGTAACTGCATTCCCGTCATGTTAATCCAAGAACGAGAAATATAGTGTATCTAATCGCGCTTATAGCAAATGAAAATCGTGTTGATGTAATTGAAATGGAGAAATATATAAAATTAATTGTACCTGCTGGAAATCGTATTGATCTTCAAGAAAGCGGAAACAAAAATGCATGACAAAGAGATACTGAAGAAATTAGAGAAACCCACAACGGATAGGATAATATTATATCACGAGATGGGTATGCTCACGCTGCAGCAAGTTATCGAGTATTATGGAAATTATCCCTTTCCCAAAGATATAAAACAATATTTTAATCCTAGGTATGAGAAAAGAAGACCTCGAGACATTGCCGCCTGCGGTATCCTTGATGATAAAAGACATTATGCACAGGTGTAGAGAAAGTCTACCGTCGAATTGGCCTATCCAGCTAGGTGTACGAACTCATAGATCGCCAAGACCTAGCTGTGTTAGATAGGCATTTAAAACCATCATCGATATTGCAATCCGATGGCGAAACGAGGTATTTTGCGATAAAGGATGAACAAGACGACGGCATGGAATTTGATGATATGGTATATGATCATAAGATTTTTTTGCGTTTCTTCTCATGCATATAATGCTCTGCAATATTATTTGTAATCTATGTTAGACATAGGTACATATACTTTTTACAATGCTTATAACTCGCGCTCTGTTTCATTCGATAGATATTAAAGTTACGATTTAGTACCCTGGACAGTTCAGATACGTCCCGAAGAAGTTCGTAAGAAAGCAGTCAAAAATTGCGACAGAAGTGCATAATATCTGTGTTTAACGAGTGCTTACTGTACTATTGTAGTAGTCTGCTGTAAGAAGCTACTGTGAAATTTTATACTATTTGTTAAAAGTAAACATGCAGCAGAAATGTGAAAACAATATGGAAGTATCTGCCCAACAAAAAAATAACAGCAAATCGCGTTAGACACTTCACGCACACTTGACTGCTTTTTGCAGCAGAGTTTTGAGTACAGATCCGGCAGAAACGTGAAAAGAACGTGCAAGCATCTGCCCGTGAGAAAAAGAGCAGTCGAGTGTGCTAGACGCTTGAAACATATTTGCAGCAAAATTTCACAAGTGTATGTCGCTTAAATTTTTGTTTTTGCCGTACAGATCCGAGTGACAGAAATGCGAAAAAAGCGTGCAAGCATCTGCCCGTCAGAAAAAGAACAGCCGAGCGCGCTAAACTTCCAGACAGCACAAAATATTTATAAAATATTTATAAAATATTTATAAAAAAGATTTAAATATTTTGAAAATATATACGTTGAATATTTTGTAAATATTATAATGTCCGGAAAATAAAAGTATCTAAAAGATTATAATAAATATTTTGAAATAAAGTGTAAATAATTATCATCAATATTATTAAAGTTGTTTTTAATATATGTTATATATATAAATATTTATAGAAATAATTACTGTAAGTTAACTGGAGATTGTGAAACTGTTATAGTTTCGTGCTGTAAGATGTAGGCTATACGCCTATACGGTCCATTTTGGCGTTACGAATTTCGAAAAATGTTTGATTGATAAATCAGATGTACGGTATATATTCTGCCAAAATCATTTGTATTTCTGCTGCTCTACTTCTTACGCAAGCATCTGTCGTAATTCTTGTTGAATTCTGCTGTATGTGCTAGTATCTGCTAGTTTGCAACGATGCCGCTAGGCGGCGCATAATGGTAAAACTAACTCGTAAGTAAATTTCAGTTGGGATATAATATAAGCAGAAGCAGGCCTCCGGCGAAGCAAAATCATGACATTCGCGACAATATCTTCGCCAGCAATGCAACGTAAGGCTTATCCAACACCACTGCGGTGCTATAAATATAAAAAATATTTTTGTAAATTATTTTAATCTTCCTAAAAAATATTTTAAAAATATTTTGTGCTGTATGGGTAGCAGTTAAGCAGTAGGCGATGCTACAAATCTGGCGCGATTATGTTGCACTGCGATTTGCGCGAGCATCTGCCGCATTTCTTGCACTATTCTGTTATATGTAAATGCATACACATATCTTCCACAATTCTGTTGCACTACGACGAGCGCAAGTTTCTGCCAACAGAAAAATAGTCAAAGTTGGAAATAGAAAACGCATGATCTGCCCGAAAGTTAATGCACGACTTTTCGTGCAGTCTTACAGCAGAATTGCAATGGAAATGTTACCAGGGTAAGGATCATAAAATTGTTGAGGTGCGAAGGTTGCTTAATTCCTCGAAACCAATGAGGATAGTTCAAAGATCGAACGTAAGCGATCACGAGTTTATAGAGGAGCAGGAAAGGCACTTGCTCATGTTATGCACGAGAACAATGGCCTGTGGCTATAGAGGCACGTTTACATTGAGAACTTCCACCCCGATGATAATGGAGCAATTACCTATTCCACGATTGTGTTTAACTGGTATGATTACGTATCATGGTTTGAATTAATTTTTTAAATTGTATAATTGTTTTAATCGTTTTCATTAGGCAAAGCACCGCCCCGTGGAACGACCGTTGAGTTAACTCACATAGACATTCCGCCAAACATGAATCTGTGGCCGCTGTTTCATAACGGCATAGCTGCGGGCCTGTGTATTCATCCGCGGCGGATTCTGCGAACATGATACTCGACATGGATAGTGTACAATAAACAGCAACAGGATGAATACGGGGTAGAACACTCAGGATTTCTGGTGGCTCTCGGTTTAAACGGACATCTGAAGAACTTAGCTCCTTTAAGTACATACGAGTATCTAGCCGATTGTCACGAAGCTACTATAGCGTTGGACTTTTGCTGGGCTTATCAGCGACGCATCGTGGCATGATGAACGTATCTATGACTAAATTATTATCGTTACACGTGGAAACGCTCCTACCACCAACGAGTATCGAATTAAATGTACAACAGAATGTCCAAGTAGCGGCGCTAATGGGAGTTGGCCTTGTGTATCAAGGAACTGCGCACAGACATCATATCTCGCATATGCTTTATTATCTGAGATTGGTAATTGTCTATCGATACACAAGATAAGTTTCATTATTAATATAATGTATACTGACATATGAATTTATTTATAGGCAGGCCGCCAGGACCTGAAATGAAAAACTGTGTGGACCGCGAGTCATATTCCTTGGCAGCGGGATTAGCATTAGATCTGGTAGTACTTGGCTCTGGTGGTGGAGCGGATGTACCGCCTGCAAGCATACGGTACCTGATACTCTGCACTATTACAAGGTCGGTGGGCACATAAGACCTTTTTCTGGAACACCAGGAAGATAAATACAAGTCTCCCAGGTACACTGAATTTATATATAATGAATAAAAAATCCATGCAATTCAAAACATTCTAATTCGAAGAAAATTATTTCGGAAGATCTAAAATTAAAACCTTTTCTGCAAAAAATATTTGCAATTTTTTTTTCTGCACGTTAAAATAGAATCAGTAATATAGGAAAGTTTTCCTCGCGAACAATTTATAAATCCGTATCTTTGCCCGATACACAGTATCTATTAGAATTTGTGAGGCCAGATTTCCTACTGTTAAGAGTGCTCGCCAAGTCGCTGATCTTGTAGGACGATATCGAGCCAACCAAGCTGTGGGTTTCTAGTCATGTGCCGATGAATATCGTTTATAAATACAGATTGCAAAAGCCTACGTCGGAAGTCACGCAGAACGTGCATGGATTTGGAAACTAGCAAGTAATAATAAGCGATCGTATCTTCTTGAAAAAGCATCTGTGTAGGTATCTCTTACCATAATCTGCATGATGTGGAAATTTATGTAATCGTTATGATACAATTTGTAGCCAGGATATTATTTAATATAAAAATATATATACTGTATATATATATATATATAATAAAAACGTTGAAAATGGTTGAACAAGATCTTATTATTTTTTGTTTTCGTCAAAGCCATCGTAATCTTTTTATTTATTATAGTTGCAAACTAAGAACATTATTATTGCACATCAATATCTAGCTATGTGAAATAATTTATAATTTTTGCATTGAATATATTTGATAACATTTACATGATAATAAAGAATAAAAATCTTACGAATAAAGCAATTAAAAAAGACAAATTATTGAGAAATAACACATGTACATATAGCATATGTCAATACTTCAGGGATTGAATTTAGGGTCAAAATAAGAAAAAAGAATACATCAATATAGGCTTTATTTTAAATAAACTGTAGGCCATTGCACGTAATAAAGTTTTAGTCATAATCGTAAGGCCGTAAGAAAATAGACCAATCACACTCTATTATTCTTCGAGCTCAAGGAGAATAATCGACTGTGATTGGTCTATTTTCTTACGGCCTTACGATAATGACAAAACTTTGTTACGTGCAATGGCCTTAACAAATTCAAAATAATCATAATATATCTGTATAAAATATCATTAATATGTCTAATATATGTTATATATTATTATCAGACTAAAACTTTGTTACGTGCAATGGCCTTTAGATCGGTTAACGACAAATGATGCGACGTGTGTACGCGCACAGTGGAAACTCAGCCTAAGTACATACATATATGTGGCGTCGTCCCTTCGGCTTTTGGCTTTCTACGTTTTTTTAGTTCTCGTCTCTCGTCTCTCGTCATATACCGTAAATTTCCGCCACGGTGTCCGGCGGCCCCCCGGCGGCTACTTCAGCACGTTCCAACGTTTTTAGGATCGCTCCGATCGCTCATAAACTTCTGTGGAATCGCTACACGAGAAACATGGCGCTTATTTCCACAAGGGCGATTTTTAGTCCCGGTAAGAACAAAATACCAAACACGAGGACGTGTCCACGCTGACGATAGCGACAGATATTTAAAGCGAATCTTCGCCGATCGTTCTGTGCATGGCCCTGCTGTCGAAACCTCTCCGACCGATTATCGAACGTGATCGTGTCGCAGGGAAAATAGGGTTAGGTGCGGATATTTGCAAAGTGCTTCGTTTTCGTCACGCAAATTTATCTTTTTGTTTCAGTGTTGAGGCAGACTCTCAAGCAGATTATCTTCGCGAAGCAACTGACGAAATGCGTAAGCAAACGGTTGTCAACGATCTATTAATCGCCCCCGGAGTTGTGCCGATAACGACTCGTGGATCACGATAGTTGCATGAAAAACATTTAAATTGTCAAATGTGAAAACTTGCTCGTAAATGCGCGTCGCTTTGATCTTTTAATAAAAGTTGTGATATTTATATTACATGATATTTACACGTGGTTTTACTGATTTTTAAAATTTATATTTTTATTAATTTACTATTTTTAATTAACATTATCATTTTTTTTTAATTTTTAAAACTTTAAAAACATTTTTAATTAATATTGTCATATTGTCACTATTGCAAATATTACTTTAATTATATATGATGATTTTTTTTTAGCAACGTTGTCAATTGAACAGTCAGCTGTTTCTTCCGACTGTTACCAGTCAAAGATTCTATGCGACAGAGAAGAAGGTGTTCAGCCGTGATAAGCCGCATTGCAACATAGGAACTATTGGGCATGTGGATCATGGCAAAACTACTCTGACAGCAGCTATTACCAAAGGTATTTGTTTACAAGATGATTGACTGCCTTGTAAATAAGAGAGAGCTGATTGATTACTTTGAACTAACAAAAAATCTTATTGTAAACAGTATTGTCTGAGAAGCAATTAGCGAAAGCTAAGGGATACAGTGAGATTGACAATGCTCCTGAGGAGAAGGCTCGTGGCATTACTATTAATGTCGCGCACATTGAATATCAGACGGAAGGTCGTCATTATGGACACACGGATTGCCCGGGTCATGCCGATTACATCAAAAACATGATCACAGGAACAGCTCAGATGGACGGTGCCATACTGGTTGTCGCCGCCACGGATGGCACGATGCCACAGACTAGAGAACACTTGCTTCTTGCTAAACAGATTGGTATTAAGCACATCGTTGTATTTATTAATAAGGTATTAATATGATACGAGCGAAAGACACTCTGAGAGAATAATAAACGTAGTATTAAAATTGTATGCAATATTTTTAAGGTCGATGCTGCTGATTCAGAAATGGTAGATTTGGTAGAGATGGAAGTACGAGAGTTGCTTTCCGAGATGGGTTATGACGGCGATAATGTTCCAATAGCGAAAGGCAGTGCACTCTGTGCGCTCGAAGGAAAGGAGCCCGAAATTGGTGCACAGGCTGTCCTGCAGTTATTGGATTTGGTAGATAAACATATTCCAACTCCTGTGAGAGAACTGGATAAACCCTTTTTACTTCCAGTAGAAAACGTATATTCTATCCCTGGTAGAGGTACCGTGGTTACCGGTAGGCTAGAGCGCGGAAGACTGAAGAAGGGAACAGAATGCGAGTTTATTGGCTACAATAAAGTTTTTAAAAGCACAGTCACGGGTATAGAGATGTTCCATCAAATATTGGAGGAGGCCCAAGCCGGCGATCAACTCGGTGCTCTAGTGAGAGGCTTAAAGAGAGACGAATTAAGAAGAGGCCTGATAATGTGCAAACCTGGCTCTATCAAGGCACACGATCATGTAGAAGCCCAAGTGTACATGTTGACCAAGGAAGAAGGTGGCAGGAAAAAACCGATTGCAAATATGACACAATTACAAATGTTCTGTAGAACGTGGGATGTTGCAGCGCAGTGTACGATAGTGGGAAAGGATTTGGCCATGCCGGGAGAAGACAGCACGTAAGACATTTGATTTGTTTTTCAAGATTTTTATTCATTTTTTTAATATTTGTTTTTGTACACTCACTGCATTTTTTTTACTGCAGATTAATATTAAAGTTGATAAGACCAATGGTATTGGAAAAGGGACAACGTTTTACATTGCGAGACGGAACGGTAACTCTAGGAACCGGCGTAGTCACTAACACCCTGAAACCGCTTACGGATAATGAGCGACACGAGCTTCTCGAGGGCAAGAAAGCGCTACTGAAGAAGCAAAAAAAAGCACAGCAAAATTAGTAGACTCGATATAAACGTTTGTTATGGAATGAAGCAGAATTGTGCTATGTAATAAAGAAAATATAAGTTAGCCCAGACAGTCGGATCTCAGTCAAAACTTTCAAATGAATGTTTATCCGAAATATCCGACATTCCTTTGAAACGAAAACTTGATAGGTGCGCAAGATACGACACTGGCATAGATTATATAATGATGAATACATAATTTGAATATGTATTGAAAAAGCGCATTTTTATCATTATATTACATATGCATTATATTACAAAATTGTGAATCATGATTTGATTAACAAAAAACAAGGATGATTGTGTCGACCCAGATATTGATGTTATCAAGTATTGCTTTCATTCCTTCCTCAATTCTCACGTATCTAAGTACATTAAGGTATATGTATTGTACGAGTAAAATTTAAATAAACAATACGTTAATAAAACGGTGTTATACGGTGATTAACGCGAAGGCATTGAGCATGTGAGTGCATTGTAGCTTTAAAAACAGTTTGATAATTTATTAAAGTTCATACATCAGCTGATACAATCTGTTTCAAGCAGAACAATGAAACACTATTAGAGGTATACAAGAATTAAATGTACATGTTGCAGTGTGTCATTCCTAGTTCCTTTCTATGTTAGATATTCAGCGGTGTAATTTACACGTGACGTACTTTTCTCTATTGGATTTCTCAAGTTAATAGGAACGAGGATTTCAAAGGGAAAGATTAACAGTTTCGCATACTTCTAACAGAACGGATTTTCTTGCGTAGAAAAAAAACCACTGTTCATATAATTTAAGTTGAACAAATCATACATTCATCTTTTGCTTATAAAAATAGCAAACAGTCCTCGTCGAAACGGACAGACGCAACAGGCTACGAATCTGTTTCACTTCAATCTCGAATCATTCTTTTCATTAAAATATAGAAGACTACACCACGGGAGACGCTTATACTCACGAAAGATGGTCGCTCTCTCAACATTCGTACTTTTCAATTCACACACTAGTAAGTTTCTTAAGCAGTTTTATCAAGAAAGTGTATATATGGCATAAGTTAGTTTTTTTTTAATGATACTTCAGTCCAGTTTTACTCCGCTGTTCATACTTAAGTATGCAAACAGTAACTTCTAATATTAAATTTTGTATGTATCGTAAGATTCTTTCTTGTAAATTAATCCATTGCATGTTGATCTACTGTATACACCTGTGTTCAATCGAGAGCAAACATGTTATCCTGTTCTGTTGTAACAAGATTGAAGTGACTTGCACCGAGCGTCTCGTTTCTAGCGGTTGATTGAACGGCCAATCGCTAATATGTACTGTGACTTATGAAGAGAACGACTTGGATTTGGTGCCAGTGCAGTTCTACTCGTCTGAACCTGATAGCAGTTTTGCTGTACCTTTTTCAGAATTGGCAGTTTTTACTCTATTTCTGTTAGGAAGTACAAAAATAAAATGAAAATAAAAAAAAGGATAATGCTACTTTTGATACGCCTTAAAGTGGGTTAGCGCGATTGTGTTTAACATACAGCACGCCTTACACAATTCCATTTCTTATGTATATATGTACATACACACGCACGCACGCACATCTATACAAACGAGCGAATCAGAAAATGCAGTGAATTTCTCTCGGTTGTTTTGTATTAGCGTCGTATCAGCTTCAGCAGGCTATGTTCCATGAACTCGTATCACAAGTCGTTTCCTCAGTTTCGCCATTACTTTATTCCGTTTCTAGTTCACAAATTTACGTGATAATATATCACCATCATTACATAAGAATTTTACAAAATCTAGGCATTCAAGTGCAAATCACATATACACAATCACACACATGTTGTGCATACCGCATTGCAACGCATTCAAGCGACCCATCTTTAAGGCTATAACATGCAAGTTCACAGAAGTTATGTGTCCAGCATAAAAGCATCCAACTAAATATTGCGGGTAAGGTATTTTTTTTTCTCAAAGAAAGAATCTTCGATTTCTATGATGTACGAGTGCGCGATACAACCAAGGAGCACCCGCGTAATAGGCCTTACTCTCTGTAAAGGCCATTCCCAGTGTTAAATAAACTAAAGATCTTCGTCGTCCTCTGGTAAAGCTGTTTCTTGAGCCTCCTTGAGATCTTTCTCGATTTGTTGCTGCCATTGTGGATCCATAGTGACCTCCGGCGGCAGCAGCGCAGGCATAGCGACGAATTCCAGGTTTGGATCTCCAATCAACTTGCGTGCCAACCACAGGAAGGGCTTCTCAAAGTTGTAATTACTCTTCGCGCTAATATCATAGTACTGCAACAAAAAAAAAAGATTAATTGTAAATTATTGTAAATTATATACAATATCAATAATAGGAAGTACTTTCAGATTAGAGGGACAGTGTAATGTCTTCACTTTATACAGATCACTGAATCATCATTAAGAAATTGTAAAAAAAAAGAAAGAAAGAATAAAAAGACAGATTTGAAAAATACATATAGTTAATAATATTATCTCAATATTATAGCATATAAAAATACCTGTAGATTCTTCTTTCTATGGAACACGATGCTCTTGGCCTTAACTTTTCTGTCCTTGATGTCAACTTTGTTACCGCAAAGAACAATCGGGATGTTTTCGCAGACGCGGACCAGATCTCTGTGCCAGTTGGGTACATTTTTGTATGTCACCCTGGATGTAACGTCAAACATGATAACGGCGCACTGTCCCTGAATGTAGTAGCCGTCGCGAAGGCCGCCGAACTTCTCCTGACCGGCCGTGTCCCAGACGTTGAAGCGGATCGGTCCGCGATTGGTGTGGAAGATCAGCGGGTGGACCTCGACACCCAGAGTGGCGACGTACTTCTTCTCGAATTCGCCGGTCAAGTGCCGTTTGACGAAGGTGGTCTTGCCAGTACCGCCGTCGCCGACCAGCACACACTTGAAGGTGGGCATATCAGGCTCGTTTGCCATTTTAATCGTTGGTTCTTCCCAGTCACGGTCGAGGTCGGGGACACACGGTTCTGCAAAGGGAGAAAACGACATTAGGTACCTGGGCATGTTGGCCACGCGGCTACACGAGCGAAGCAACGTGCGCGCGGCACAGGGGGGGGGGGGTTGCGTTTCAGACGCGGGGGATGCCTCGTGGAGCACCTCCGCGGGCACACTCACGCGGGAACGCCCGGGGGGGATCGATCGCGGCTGTCAGGACGGCGAGGGACGCGGTCCGAGAGGGAGACCGACCCGGGGACGTCGTCGATCGAACTTGCTGGAAAACGCGCGATCACGCGTTCGAAACGTGACCGTGAAAGAATTCGGTCGCGCGGCCGGGGGAGGGCCGCCGGCGCGGCGACGATAGGTACGCTCGACGAGCGGCTCGCGCTGGCGGTCGGTGGCCGTGAGAATCGGAGGGAAAAGCGAGTCGCGATATCGAGGACCGGTGCGTCCACCGGCGGGGAATGGCGCCCGTCGTGCTGCTGCCCGCGAAGCCGGGATTTCTCGCTCCGATCCGCTTCGGCGGCCGGCGGCTGCTAGCGGCGCGATTTTTCCGCGCGCGTGACAATCACGGTCGCCCGGCGATCGTCGCCGCACTCACGTACCTGCTCGGACGGCGCGTGTACGAAATTTCCCGGGTACGCGGTGACGCACGTGAAAATGAACGTTAACACTCACCGTGCCGTACAGTCGGTATGGTTCACAATGGCGTTCCTCTGGGCGGTCGAATGGAGGCGATGCCACCTCGCCGATTCGCCGAGTCGAAGGGGCGCGGGGACGCGCGTCCGCGGGATCGAGATCGACGGGAAAAAATCGAATTCGATTTTTCGCGTGTGTCTTTTTTTCCAGCGAGATGCGACTCGTACGACGACGAGTGGCGACGAGATGCTCGGTTGACGCGGACTCGGGACGGGCCACCGGAAATGCGCGCCGTCAGCGACATCTGCACTCGGCGCGCCATGCGGCCTGCTTTCCCCCTCCCCCACCCATGCAGGCGAACGTGCAGGAATAGTGCAGTTGCGCGAAAAACGCGGTGCACGCAGAGTAGCGATTCTCCGGATTCTCGGGGTCTCGTCTCGTGGCGGCAAACGTTCAAAGGAACTCGCTCGGTCGAGGAGTAACCGATTTCGGTCGCGCGCCAGTTTACGAAACTTGACGTTTCCACAAGCAGAAACGCCGATTTTCATTGAAAATAATTAATCGTTTTAAACGTGAAATGTGAGGAGAGAAAGGAATTGTTTTGTCGGGTAAAGCCGACAAGTTTCGTGAGAAAACTTTGGACGCTAGATTTCTATGTCTTGCTCTTTCGCTTTTTTTGTTTTTATATTTGATCTGTTTGTATAGGACAGTTACTACGTTTACGCGAGCGTTACTTCTGTAGTAACTTACTATAATTCACTCGTTTACGCGGAGTAAATTGTCGTAAGTTACTACAAAATCCCGTTTACGCGAAGAAATTATCGTAAGTTACTACAGAAGTAATAACGCTCGCGTAAACGTAGTAGTAGTAAGTGTAAGTTGAGAACGAGCTAATTAATCATAGTTAACTTTTTTATTTCTAAATTATTTACAGCTACGAAAAAGATATTTATGTTTGTGTGCATATTACATGAATAAGCGATTTATACAAACATTTTGAAAGTATTTTTAAGGATTTTTTTCATTCATAATTGTTTGGCAACGTTGGAATTGGGTGATAAAATCTTAATACAGTTATTACATAAGATTTCAGATTTAATTAAATTTTGAGACTGATGAGCTGTGGAACATGGATAAAATATTTGTTGAATTAATAAAATATAATTTATTTTAATATTTACATTACATATATATAAATATTGTATTATATTGGCTGCGTTTGCTTTCGACGCTTTCGTGCGGAAAGTATCATTAATTCTATTTTTCTTCAACATATAATGAGCAATAAAGATAGAATGACGTTTTTTCAGCACGAAAGCGCGTCCAAAGTAAACGCAGCCGTTATACATTAATTAAATATTGGAATTAAAATGGTAAAATAGCGACAGAGGACAAATCATTATAAAATGCGCGCCATCAGTTTCCACAGCTACACACTTAAAAAATGAAATTGATTTTGAATTTTTATTTTATCTATTACAATTATGTATAATTCTAATTATATGCATCTCTCCTATAGATATATGTATAATTTTATGAATCCAGTTTTGCTTTTTTCGATCATAAAGATAAGAAATACGTTGCATAATCTTATTATTAATTATTCGTCTCAATATACATGTTCAATTTGGAAGACCTCATAATTTAAGTGCAAATGCGTTTTTATGCTTATATAACTTTTAATACTTTTTTTTTTTCATAAATTACACTGAAGATGATCTGAACACAGATCGAAACATTTGTGATGTGAATAATAATTTGTATTAAATACATCGACACGGACACCCAGTAGTTGTGGCTTTATATTTTATTTTATTGAGTCATGATTTAAAGTCTGCTATTATCTAAAATCTAAAGTAAACGTTCCGATGGATACTTTATGTATTGTTGTAATAATACCATATTTTGTACAGCATTTATTTTATATTATAAAAAATACTATACATAACTATAAAAAAGTATTGATACAGTAAAATACAATCCCGGTAAATAATTTTTTCATATATAATTATACATATATATATAAGATATAAAACAGTAGATCCCCGTATAACGCGTATATATTAATATAACACAGATTCGTATGACACAACGGAAAAATTTTAATAACTGTTTGCTTTAAAGTGAAATAAAAAATATTATACGTTTATATCTTTAATATTTATTTTATACTTTTTACGATAAACTTTTACATCTTTTATAAATATTTATTTCTATATTTATACATAATCCAAATATGTATAATCTATCTAAATATGTGACTCGTATAACATAGATTCATATAATATGGAACGTATCTGTTATACGCGGGTCTACTGTGTATGTTTCCTTTTCCTTATGTATAATTTTTGTTCATATATACAAGAAAATTAATCAAAACAAAAACTTAAAAAAAATGTAAAGAATATTTTTTACATTGTTATTTTACAAAAAAATTAAGTTTCAGGAAATGAGAAAACATTGTCTAATTATATATGTATAAAATGTAATATTTGTACATAAAATATAAATATATGATTATATACGGAATATTGTATAATCTATAATCGCAATTTCATTTAAAAAAAAACAATGTAAAAGTTATTTTCCTAATTATTTTTCGCGATTATTCTTCTTAACATTTTTTTTTTATATAGGCATATGAACAGAGATTATACACATCATCCTTTATTTATAATTATATATGAAAAATTTTTTTCCGGAATGTAATAAAGTTCATTAATACTTATTTTAGATAATGACAAACTAATTTAAATACGATAGCAACATATATATTATACTATAGAATGCAAAAAGGATTGGCGCTTATCGTCGAACGTAACGAGTATAAATATGACGTAAGGGCCCAGAAATTCTAGTCGTGTCCCTGTCCTCTCGTGTTCCTCGCCGCACGCGAGGTGTCGGGTGGGATGACGGTGCGCGGGGCGCCGCGTCGCGCGGCGTCCGCACCTGCGAGACGAAGTTGACGTCACCGGCGCGTGCGCGCCGCGTCGGGACGGCACTGCAGAAGCAGGCGAGTTCGCGAGTGTATCGATTTTACGATCGTGCCTCTCTCGCGGTGCCAGTGCGTTCGTCGTTTCCTTTAGTTTTTTAGTGGACGTGCACGTCGTACATGGATAAAACCGTGAATGGGATTACCCGCTAGACACGCCGCTCCGTACACCGCTTGCTGACTCGCAACTCCTCGTCACCCTTCATCATGACCAAGGATAGATTAGCGGCCCTCGTCGCGGTGAGTGAATCCGGTCGAGACTACTCTACTCTTGCTAGTTCGTCGCTCTCTATCTCTTTCTCTCTCTTTCTCTCCCTCTCTCCGTGTACATGTACACGATGCCTCTGGTGCACCAGATAACCGGAGCTGCACCGTCGACATACGCGTCACGCGTGTCGTCCTCGTCGTCGCCGTTATCGCCGCCGTCGATGCACGCGTAACTCACGCCCTAGCGCGTGTGACTTTTACGGGTGCGTGTCACTCGGCGGCGGCACCGGGCACGGTGCTCCGGTCTCCCGTCGCGGTCGCGCGGCCAAGAGAGTAGCTAGGAACACGGCTCCGTCGGCTAGAAGGCGTAACCGCGAGACGGAAAGCCGGCGGATGACAGGCGGTTCGTCCGCTCGCCTCGGTTCGCCTCGGCGTCCGAGCTGACAGGTGTTCGTGAGGCACGCACTCTCGCCGAAAGAGCCCCCCCGATCTCGTCGTCGCCGTCGGTCGTATCCCGCGGTACTTAATGTACACGGTGGCCGTTTTCGTCGTCGTTGTCGTCGTCGAGCCGGTGCGTCGCGCCCGGGTCCATGGCGACCATAGCCGACCTTGTCACTTATTGGCGACGCGCCGATGAATGGAGAACGTATTCTCACCGGCCGTGCCGCTGCCGGGACCGGGATCGGCGTCTAGCCTTGCCGTAGGTCGCCCCAGTCGCCCCGGATGTTGTAGACGCGCGAGGATGACGTCTATACGTTCATTCACGGCCGCCGCGTTACGATCGGCGTGGCGTACACGAGCGTGGCATCCTCCCGGGAGCCAACTGGACCGCGGCCGACGATTTTTTTGTTGTAATTTTCGTGATTTTACCGGAGCACGCGATCGCTTTGTAACCGCGTCGATCTTTTCTTTTTCTCGTATTTCGTGGAGTTGATCGTCGGTTTGATTTTCAAGAGGCTCGTACGTTTTGCAGTGCATTCGAAAGTCGAATTCATTGAATCCGCACATCCACACGGTCGGTTTAAATCCCCGGCTGGCAATCGCGCGTCTATTGAAGAGCTCTCCCATGATGTTTCAATGAAAACCGCGTTATCTCGATTCGCTGCAGCGTGTTTCGAAATGACGAGCCTCGTGTCGAAATATTCGCGACGGCACCTTCGACGGTGATTATTTTACAATAATATATTTCGTGGAAGAAGAATGTCGAAAGTGTACGGGGAGAAAAATTCGCGCGTTCCATTATTCCGTCAGTCGACGGCCTCAATGGATTAACGCGGCGGGCATCGTTCCAAGCTGAAACGAACATCGCGTCCGTATGAAAAGATTAATCGTGGCCACGGTGCCGTTGGTACAATGCAACGAAATTCGTCACATAAATGCGGCGCGATTGCAGATTGCACTTGTCGCGAATATTCGGGCGCATTGTCACGGGTACAACTGTGGCATTGTGCCCCGGAGGCCGGCTTCGAAATTCGCGCAAGATTCGCGCTTTAATTGATAACGGTAACGCTCTATCGTTGCGCCGAGCCACGACCTGTCAATGTATATCGTTGACGACACCGAATATATACGCGAAGCGCTCCTGTTACTCCTCCGTGTTCTTCCTGAAAGCAGGAAACGTATCGATTGAATCAAAATATGACTGCCCGATATCGGACAAAGATATTCGCGAAACGTTATTAACATCACTGATGAATGAACGGAAATGGACAGTGACGTAAAATGTTGCGATATCTTGACTCGAAGACCTTGAGAGAGTTGTTCTCGTCGAATTTTTTTAGTTTGTCGTGTCACTCGTGTCGTCGGGTCATTTGAAATGTTGTCAAATAATGCAAAACGAAATTGAATATTCTCATTATCATTGTAATTTATCTTATAAGACTTTCTGTTGTATCCCTGGACAAATTTGTGTCCACAATATAGTACATATAATATTATTATTCCTAAAGAAACGGTAGAATGTTTTAAGCCAACAGCTTTATTTGTTATAGTTTACATTTTACATCGTATGCAGTAAGTAACAATGGTAAAATAACGAGGGAGAGAGAGAGAACGCGGAAATTATTCGACCGACTTTTCTTTTTGTTCTTTATTCTCAATTAATGCCGTCTGGTTCTCTGACTCGCGAAGGATGCATGACACGCATCGAGTATCATGCTAGCTGATACCCGATGATGACTCATTAGTCGGTGGCATTCGTGGAAAGCACGTATGGGCGTAAAATCTGACCGACCGACGTTACCATCCAGCGGATTTCCTCGTTTCTGTCATCATTAGCTATTGTTAACTCACGTTGTCATCACAGCAACCATTTGTTATTATTACCGAATATTTTTTGAATCTTTATCCTCACAGTGTAATCTAAAATTGATATCCATATATACATCAGTCTGTCAGTCTATACTTTGAAATTTAAAGTTGTAATCACTTTTAAAATGAGCAGTTTCTTCTATAGTAGAATATGTGATGGACTACAATGCGTTCAAAATTTTTAATCCTGATGCTTTTTTTACATCGTTCGATTTTTTTTATAGAAGATGCTCGACGTGTAGTATACATGCGTTTAGGGTTTATTTAATTTAAAAAGAATTAAAGTAATTGTAATGTAGCGTACCACGAAATACGATGAAACGAGTCCCAAATGCAAATAATAAGGAATATCCAAATTTTTAAACGTACAGAGAAGAAAAGGAATATTCTTGATTTGAAAATATCTGTAGTTTAAACGTGGAAATCTTGAAATAAGATTATTGTGTTAAACGAAGAAAATTTGTTTGAATGAAATCATTTTACATAGTTGAATCGAGAAAAAGAAGTTGAAAAAGTTGAAATTTTTATAAGAAGATTATAAATCATAGATTATTAAAATAAATATTAGGCTCGTTTTATGCAAAGCAATATGAGAGAATATTGGGGCCAACGATACGAGCTTAATACAAAAGATATCGTACTAATTATATACCTAACTTTATTCATAATTAGAATCGATATAAAGTAGACGACTTTACTAAAACGATAACTCTTCTTTAGTACGAAAATAACAATTATTCGTAACTGAAGATTGTTGCGTATACATGAGTACATGTATAAGTTTTAATTCAAAGTTTTAAACTTCTTTTTTTTCTGATGTGTACTCTTCAAATTGAGAATAACCAGAACGACATGTCCGTTCTCATTTGTAGATTGTAGATTGCACTCTTGGTCCTACCATCCTCGCCCTACCACCCGCTTTTGGCTCGTATATTTATTTATTTCTCTCATTTTCAATAATTGATTAAATTTTCAATATAGTTTCCGAGTTATATTCCAGCGTAAGATATGAATTGTATTTTGAAATGGAAAAAATTTAAATTTGCATCCCACTCACAGCGCGCGGCTATTATCGTCGGCGACGTCTCGACGCCGCCGCTCCGCATAAGAAATGTAAAAAATGCGAGCATCTTTTATAAATAACCGAGATTCCTTTACGAGGAGATAGGGCGAGAGCACGTATCTCGCGAAGACATTTTTCCGCGCGCGGTATGAGATAATTCTTTCTCGAAAATGATCGTGAGTTATTTTATTACAATTGTGATTCGTGTGTCACGTCGCCGTCGATATCTATGTCGCGACCTTTTATGTTTGCTATCAAGACTTCTGACACATTGCCGGTTGCAACACGACTCTCACCTACGAAATTCTCTTCTTTCTTTCGAAATATATCGTTTCTTATTTGACATCTATCCGTATCTTTATATAGACTTAAGATTATATAAAATGTTCGAAAAATTTATCTTTTATTGTAATATTTTTACGTAGAAATTTCAAATTTGTTTCTAATTTACTCTTGATCTTTAAACCATTCTTTCGCATTCTTTTCTCAACTGTTGAAATTAACAAATAGTATAGGACACGCTATGTATGATCCAGGCTAGAGTCCCTCTAATCATCAAAGTTTGGCCAACTTGCAGTTCTGGCAAAATTCTGCGAGAGAGAAGGATATACAATCACTATCGTTTTCTCTTTGTTTCTATCTCTTTCTCTTGTTTTTGTCAAGAAATGGCGAACCAATCAAAAGTTGCTACCGTATGGCCGGACTCTGATTAGAGGGACTGGCCAATCCTAATTGTGTTAAATACTATTATAGACCTTTTTAGATGCAATTAATAATGAACTTGGGAAATTTTATGACGCGTTTTTTAAAAGAGTCAGCAGCAGGTACTATGTGCGTGAAGTTTTTTTTTTAGCGCGGTAATCGCATTTTCCGCGTCGCGAGACACGTTTCGTCCTTTCGGCAAGGACAATTCATTCTTCAGCTTTTTCCTTGACCCGATAGCGCGCATTTACTCTCTAGACGATTTCACTCGTACGTGAAGGTTATCCCTACTACATGCTTACAGTTTACATAACGATTCTGGTGCTAATCACTTCAAATCACTTCACGCCTTCGGCTATACATTCTTTACGTTCGAAAACAAACGCGGTGAATTGTTCGCTTAAAAATCGACACTCTCGGAGAAAAAGCTCAATTTTATCAAATGATTCATGAATAGTCTTTCCCCTGAGACATTGTCGTACATAAACATCCCAGTAATGGTATGTTTATGTAGAACATAATGACATTGTGTTACATAAACATACCTGCAGTAGGTTAAATAATGTGTTAAAGATCCGATTGTAATTTCGATAAAATTTTCGAACGGCTTTCAATGCAAATATATATGGAAATATTTCACTCTCTCTGGAAATAATTTACGTTTCTCTCCATTATCGCGAATGAACTTTAACATAGAGTCATCAATCGCGTATTTTTCACACCGAAATCTGAATTCACGTCGAAATTGTGTGGGTTTTAATTTTTGATTAAGTTTATTATTATCGCATAAAATGTATGATACTAAAATGCGAGTATTTAAACAGTTAAATTGTTAAATTATTTTGTTATAATGGAAATGTATTTTACATAGATGTGTATGTTTATATAACACTTATATAAATATGTTAGTCGTATTTCTAGTTCAATATACGTAATTATTTTACCAATTTAGAGCAAAACCGATTTCATGAACCACTCATAGATAGAATGTATTGCAATTTGGAGTAAATATAAACTGGATCGCATGAGTTATATAAATCCCACTGCAGCAAATGCCGATTAGTTAATTTAGTTCAACATGATTGTCTTGATCTGTCTGTATCATAGCACTGTAATCCAGAAAGGGACAGCGTATCGCTAAACCAGGGTAGTTAACCCGGACTCTGTTGGTGCAATTCAACCTTAGCACGGCGCAAGTTGAAACGGGAACGCTGATCGATCGCGCGAAAATTACGTTGGACGTGTGATAGCATCTATATAAATGTATACAATCCAAGACATACGTAACTACAAAAAAGATTGCAATGAAATGTCGAAATTATATCAATTTTATAGCGAGCGTCCGCCGGAAATGCAAGCTGTGCACGGAATTCTAAACTGTTAATAAAATGTATCCCCTGAATTATCGGGGGATGCTACATATATAAAGTTTTATATATTTCGGCTGTTGAAAAACGTATATTTGTAATTAAATACTTTATGTAATTACACCTACGTGACTCGAAAAGTTTTGTCGTGCCAATGAATGTGAAACTGTAATACTATACAGATACGGGCATGTGTGCCGCTTTATATGAATTTTCGCGTTTCCGTTGTTGGATAAACATTTATATTCGCGTTTATGTTTGTAGCAATCTCACCATCGATTCTCACCAGAATTTATATCGGCTCCAATCGTGGCTAGCGTATGTCGTAGAAACAGAAACGCATAGTGTTTCGCGTTCGATCGTCGCGCCAAACTTTGTTTGGATAACGTTATTTTGTCCGATGTTGGCGTACCCTTGTTATCGGGCCGTCGAATTCTCTGCTCGGCGAAAGAAATTCGTCGTGAAAATCTAGCCGGCGTGGAAACGCGATATCGATCGGGAGAACGACACACGAATGACGATACGCTTTCGGCCCTCTTGTCGCACCGCGTTATCGCGCGCGCGGTGCCTATAATCGTTTCTTAATTGTATGCAAATACCGTATCGATTAAGCGCACGTAGAACGCTCGAACGACAACTAGGGCGATCGAGAAACGAGCGCGGTCGCGAATTTGACAGGCGCACGGCGTGCGTTTGTGCCGTGAGAAAAATTATGTATATTAATTGTCGGTATAAGAGAGGTCTATCGTATACATATGACATAAGAGAGAGAGAAAAAGTATATGACGTACAGGTTATTTAGTGCATATATTTGATTTTTCATTACAAAAACATGCATTTAATTTCATTTTTGTACAATACATGTTTATGGTTTGCATTTTATGCATATTGCCGTGATATAAACGCGGATTATACAAACTGCTACACATCAATCATTTTTATAGCTTCCTGTAAAATAAAAAACGTTTGCTTATTTATTCTCTATCCTGTTTTGTATTCCGTCCTTCGTGTCTAATGAATGGCATCATGTAAAAATAATGATAAAATAAAATATAACTTGTCGAATGGAAGAATGGCATAAATTGATATAAAAATCACTTCCGTGGTATAATTACTTTAGCGTGATATAGGATTAACATTTTTTTTCTTTACGTATCACTTTTGTTTCTTAAAGTATTCGAAAGTATAAAAATGCAACTTTTGTATTAGTATTCTAGCAACAGTTTAAAAAATTCATAATATTATGTAATAATCTCTAACTTTGATTAATATTTATTTTAAAATCTTCCGCGAGAAACAAGAACAGTGTAATGACATTCTGTAGATACTTTGTTCTGCGGAATTTCCATTTTCATATAACAGCATTAAACTTATAATGAAAGAAAGCTCAGTAGTCTACTGTGGCTGACGGTAATGAAAGAAATTTTCCCGCGAGCGATCAGCCGATTGCACCTTCTATGCTGTAACATTTGCTACAGGAAGGTTATATATATTCATCAATAATATTGATGAAATAATCCTTTTATTTATTTATAAATGCGGATTTTTATAACGTGACGTGAAATAAATCGATTGGATCTAAAATTTATTACTTATATACATCTTTTTTTTACGACTGTTATATAAACTTTAAACAAATATAATGACAGATACATTTTATATTATTTGATATATAATCAGCTAAATTATAATATTATAATTTAGATAATTATATTAAATTATATTAAAGTATGTAAATACTTGAAATCGAAATTTTTTGACTGTATGACATATTTACATATAGTGGCCTTTTAGTAAATTAAAAAATCTGAAAGATTAGTTTTATATGCATAACGTGAAACAGCAATAAGTCATTGATTTAGTTGCTGAATTAATTAATCTTTAACAATTTGAATTGAATAATTTAGTAGTCAACAAAGTAGCTGATGATTTTTTTAAGACAATTAATACAATTGATAATAATCTAATAACCTACGTAAAAAACAGACGGTATAGATAAGATAATGCAGAAGATAAGACAAAATGAGATGAAAATATGTAGTGATTTATTTTACTGGTATTTAAAACGTTTTAATTACAAATATAACATTTCGATGTTGCATAACTTTGTTGTAAATTATTATGAATCTTGCATGTGAAATCTGTTGTCACAATTTAGTCAGTAATTCATAAAAATTGCTGTTTAATTAATTAAGACAATAAGCACAAGCGAGATTTCATAAAATAAAGTAATATTTTTCAAATTTAGATTTGTATGTTACAACAATAATTTGTTTATTACAACGCACAAGATTATTCTATCGAAGGCAAGATTATTATTGCTCGAATGGAAGCGATTATATCATGTTATGTGAGAGGAAGTCATTCTTATCAGGATAAGAGATTGTGTACGCACAATACATATGCATCAGTGCAATCGTCGACGAAACCAATTAATCGTACATATAATATATACTTTTATGCTTTTACAAAATAAGAATAAATCACGTCTGCTTTAGTCTTAATTAATAAAGCAGACTCTTTACGTAATATCCGAAAATAATCTCTAAACAATCAGGCTTCGTTTGATTCCAATCAGGATATTGCGAACACGATTATTTAATACTATGATATTTTTCCTCGTCAGATACGAATTAAATAATTTCTTTAGTCAACGGTTGACAGCCGGACGAACCAGCTGTTATTTAAAACCGGATCTGTTTGTTTATTGTATCAGTGCTTGTGTGTTATATCTGACCACTGCGCACAGTAAAAAATAAAATGTTAATCGTAACATTTTTCAAATGTCCCAGAAAGTCCACTCTAAATTTTGAGTTAAAATAACTCATTCATCGTGTGTTACTTGTTGACAAATTAGAAATGTTAATTTATTGACACTATATTTTACATTTATATTTGTTTTTTTAATTTTAAGTATAATGTAAAAATAACTTGTAAAAAATGTCGATATAACATATTTGAATAAACGATAGTTATTTCAACTTAAGAGAAATGTTGTTTTGAACATTTGATTGTAGTAAATTTGATTATTTTGTATGTCAAAGTTTATGATTATTTGAAGGTTTACTTTAACTTTTGTTTATGTTAAAATAACTTTAAGGCGTGTTGATTTTTTGAAATAATTATGTTAAAAGAACTTAAAATAATATTCAATTTCTAAATGACATACATAAAGTGTTAAGTTATCACGTTGACATTAATATAACACATAAAGATGTTACGAAAATAATAACAGCTGTTGTATGTTAATTTTACATTGAAATAATAGTCAAATCTTAGGTAACTAATCTTGGGTAATCAAGAAAATTTTAACATTTGGACGCATGATTTTTTACTGTGTGCCGCTTACAAATCATCTTAGTCAGTTTTCGATGTTTTTCCTAAAGACTCAGTTTGTTAATTTCACGTCCTCCGGACTTGGTTCGGTGAATGGATTTCACTTCTCTTTGTCGGTTAGTCCCAATTTTCATTTTTAGTCTGAATATTTTGCAGACTATCAATGTTAGCACAATTTTTTCTGGCATTTTCTCTTAAAAATTACACTATCTTTGTTACATTCAATGTTTTAAATATTCACCTTGTGCTTGTAAAGTTTAACGTTATTTTAATTTATGTATCACCGCGTCGCTGAAGATGGCTCAAAGCAAAGCCGAAACGTATGCGATTTATATTTTGTATTAAATATTAAATTATTAATTAAATGTTACATAACAATTCACCGCACAATTAACCGCATTTGACTCTCAAAGGAAAAACCTGTTTTTGTTTATTACTCGTTAATTTTAATGCCGGGAATCTGTAGTTATAATTAATCATTTATTTAAAAATTCTCGCATTTATGTTATTACTATATATTGTATGAACATTTTTAACCACCCGAAAACAGGCGTCTCATTTTTTTTGCATAAACGGCCTGAGGCTATTTTTACACCCCAGTAAAAATTTATTGTTATTAATTACATATTGCATATTTTGGATTGTTCTATAATTTGTCAGTATTTGAGGACAATATGTATACAGATTTACTCAACATTTTCCGAAAAAAGTAAGGAAAAACCAAATAAAAATATTTAAAAAATGAAAGAAGCACATTAAAATTATTACATGAGTTTTATTTTTTCGACACTATATAGGGTATTTAAGTAGCCCCAGGTGCCCGTTGTCGAGTTATGTATAAACAAATATAGATGTAATAAGCTAGACTTGCTCTAAGAGATATGGAATTAGATTAATATTTAATTAACCAAATTTAAATTAAACTTAAATATATAATTTAGTAGAATTGAAAAAGTTTTTTTATTGTTCAGCTTGTTATCGTTGTATTAGTTATAAAATAAGAAGCATTTTTAAGACTGAAAATATAGTTTGCTGTAGTACTTTGTTTCTAATAAATGATTGTATTTCTTGCAGACCCAGTCGGACGACGACGATGTGACGGACGATGTGTCCGTCAACGTCGGGGCGGATGACTTCATGACGGAATTTTTCGCGGAGGTGAGTGACAAACTAATTTGTTGCCGCGGCAATTTTTTATATCCGACGCCGTGGCGCGATCGAAAGTATGAAAGAGTGTGCCGTCAATCAAAAGTAGGTTAAACCAGTATCAGCAAGATTATATCGGTCTTAACGAGGACAATGCACAGTTTCTCCTCTCGCTTCTTTTCATACATGCAATGGGTACACGATTATCGCAGGATAACACAAAAGGAACGTTCGTATATAAAATTCAATAACTCGGGCGAAACAGCATTTCGTAAAAATTCCGCGTCGGAATCTTTGCACAAGGCTTTCGTATTTTATCGATCGCGTCTTGCAAGCTTTTCCTCGTGCTACGAGTAAAATGTTTTTACTCGTGCGAGCGCACCTGCTCGGGGAAGCAAGATGCAACTTTCTTGTAGACATAATCGCGCGCGCATCTTTTTCCAAGCGTGAATTTTGCAGTTTCGGGCCGACCGATCGTAATTCACATGTGATTTACCGAAGCGAAATCTCTAACGAACACCGATACGCCCATATATGCATCGCGCATCAATCGTATCGTTTAATCAGCTTATGCGGGAATTACGGTGGATTCGTATACCATACGCTTTGTGTCGCAAAATGACGCACGTTTTACCGTTACGTAACATTTTCGAATAATTATTAATTATAAATGATTATATACGAATTATATACATATTTCGAGGATCGTATCGAATAATCGTCGCGCGGAAAATTGATCAAGTTTTGCATCGTTTTTGTGTTAATTTAAACAGGTACCCGTTACTTTCAGAATAAATACGTTCGCAAAAATATAAAGTTGCATCCGTTAATTTAAGTTTTAATAGTGAAGCGAGCACGTGATTTTCTCTTGCGTACATAAGCTTTGTCACGCAAGCGGTAATAAGCCGCTCTCCTCCCCTTCTCTCGAAGCAAAAAAGTTCCTTTATCTGATACGCCGTTTTTCTCGCGAGCTAGTGATTTGTTGTCATAGATAAGAGATGTCACTCTCGGAATACAGGATAACCTGGTATCGCGTAATCAGAACTATTTCATTCCTCGGCGAATTAAAAAAAAATAGATCGGAAAACGATAAAGGCGTTTTAATTAATCGTGCATTTTTATCAAATACGGTTTGAAAGAGAACAAAATAAATATATTTTATATATTGTATAAATATTTTCTAAAATATGTAAAACATATTTTATTTTTTACATACATTTTATATATTTGCATCTTGCTGACTGTAATCTGTTAGTAATATTAATACCAGAACAAATGCGAATATAAATTAAAGAGAGGAGTCCGGTTAAAGGAAAGATTATTCGCATCATAAGGAAGATTAATCACTCGTAGGATATTTACTTTTCTTCTTCAAAAACTACTTCGTGTTTTTGAAACGGATTGGTTCTACTAATGGCATCCGCTTCATTTATATTCATACGACCCGTTTACGGATAAATGTTGGAAAATGTATAGTAAGAGATTATTTCCTGCGAAATATAAGACACGTTTTTGCTTTGCGTTCTTCCGCAAATGCTTCTGCATCCACTTTTAAGAGCATTCGCTTCTTATCCGTGCAGTAATCCGTCGAAATCATTATGCTCGTCCACAGTTTCCCGAGTAATTTTATCGAGTAATTTTGCAACGGGGATGTTAGTTAATTAAAAGTTACCTCGATATCTGTCTAAACGAATTTCCCGCGTTAACACCAGTTCACCGTCGATTAAAGACGAAGGGAGGCATCGAAGCGCGCCAAGATAACGCACGGCTATAATTATCGCGTACAATTTCGTTCATTGCCGGCGCTGGGTAATAATTATCGCGAACAGTACGCCATTTCTCACGCGGTCGTTTCGTCGACATTCGCGGTTGCGTGCGTTTGACGTTTACGAGGGTCCCAATTCTAACGGTGGAAAACACAACGCTCGTGGAATCCACCGCTCCGGACGGGGCGAGGCAGGGAAGGGAGAGGGAATCGGGTGCCGCGGACGTCGGATTTGAACGCGGTCGAATACGTACGCGACGCGATCGTCGGGGCGCAGGCAATTCAAATGCAGATGTGGACTCGCGGCGCGAGAACCAAAGCGACATTAGGTATACCAATTGTTTTTGTTGATAAGCGCTACATGCCGGCATTGGTATCGTCGCTTCGCTTCGCATTACGTAACCGCGGATTGTAGTCTCAAATCGCGGACTCAAATTGGATGTACATACATGATTGTACGACTAGCGATACACGAGCGGATGATTCGATAAGTATCGAAGATGAATTCTGATCTGCGTTAATACAACATTCTTTAAATCAACTTCAAATTAACTAGAAAATTAACTCTATAGGTACCGTAGTCGCTGACAAAGTATTTATGTCTATACAAAGTATATATGTATACAATTCAAAATATATTTTTCTCTGACTAATCCGGATAAATGTATTATTATAGTTCCGTTAAATACGAGATACGTGAACTGATCCAAATTAGTTAAATATCAAAAGCGATGGAAGATCCCCGAGAACATTTGCAATAAAAACTTTTACGCTAACAAAGATTGAATTCAGCTTAATCACGGAACTGCAAAAATAAATCGGTTTGCGATGTAAATTATTCGCGTTTATTGTATTAAATATCATCATTATACTTTCAAATTCTTCACAACAATTGCATTGTCGTCACTTGTTGTTTTAGCTTGATACTGCTTTGTTGGAAACACGTAGGTAAAATGTTACTTATTTAATTCTCTAACAAAGCTCGTGTGCTCACAATGAAATTCTTACTCGTACGTGTTCTTAGGTACCTATCTGCTGCCGAGATTTATTGCACTAGTTTCTACCTACACAGGTCCTGGATTTTGCTTATACATCCGGCATACGGCGCTAACAAAATTTATTATATCAATTTGCGCTGTATACGAGAGGAACTATTACAGCTGTCCCCCGAATTGAAAAATTTGTGGACTTATCTGCTTATCTTTTTGCCTACGTACCTTTTAAAGGAGAAAAAAAGTATGCAAAAGAGCTGACCATTGATCGTTAAATATGCATAACACGTGCTTGTCGTCCGTGCGAAATTTGCGACAAATCGTCCAAACGATCGTTACGCGTCGATAAATAATTCGTGTTCCGCTCGGCACGTATAACAGTCGCCGCGTATTTATATTGCTAATAAAACCACAACGGTGCGGCCATGGTCCGGTGGTAAAATTTCATCGTCGATTGCTGCCGACACATATACGAGCGTCACAGAATTTCCGCTTGATCCTGTCGCGATATTTTCCAACAGGTCGAAGGAATTTTTGCGATGGGACGCCGCTCGCGTTCCCATGTAAATGGATAGTCGTAAAAGCGCACGCGGAAAGTTTGCGCGCGCCAAGTTAGATTGATTTTCACCGCGTTCCGTCACCATTCCGCTTGCATCGCGTACCCCGTTTCATTTCGCATCTTTATTCCCCGCTGTTTTTTTACGCGCTCCATCATCTGGGATTTCCGTGTTATTTTCCTGTTATATAGCGTTGAGATCTGCGGTATGACGTTAATTTTTTTACTATTATGCCGGGATTACGATGAATTTAACGTAACGGGACGCGACGGGACGCGAAGTAACTTAAAACCTAAACACATTGTTTTTATATGCGTTACGTAAAGTCGATCGTAATCAGCCGCATATAAAAACAATGTGTTTAGGTTTTACGTTACTTCGCGTCCCGTCGCGTCCCGTTACGTTAAGTTCATCGTAATTCCGGCATTACTGTTGCCGTTGCTCTTAATTTTTCTGCAATGCTCGTTTTATATTTCGGAGAAGCTAATCGCATGTACAATAACTTTGCTCAGAATTGTAACGGAATCATTACGCATCTTTTTTCTCTCTTTCCCTCTCTCCTTCCCTCTCTTCCCTTTCTCTCTCATTTCATCTCATCTTGATATAAAAGGGTTTAAACCATTTCACTTACAACGTGTAAAGCCCAAAGTAATATTACTTTCCTTCTTCTTTACAGTAATTTCTTTACAGAGAGAATTTTCTCTTAGAATTTACCCTGAAAATCATGATAGTTGTGGGACAACATGTATATGAAGAATTTTATGCGAGCTGCTATTCTGATTAATATCTACCATAATACAAAATATTAATATCTATTATTACAATAAAATATATAATATGTTTGATTAATTTTACTAAAATATATAGTAAAATTTCAATAATTTTTCAAAAATTACCAATCCGCTTGGTAATTTTTATTACGTTTGTAAAATATCTTTTGTATATTTCAAAAATTTCTTGGTTGCCAAGTTGTCCCAAGTTTGTAGTTAATTTAACGGTAAAATTTAACGAAAAATTCTCTCCGTGTTCACAAACTCGAATCAATATTTCTTGTTAAATAATATCTTAAATTTGTTTAGCAAATAATTTATTGATACGAATTTCATTTTCGAGAACCGTTCTAATTGTGACGTGCGTGGATAAATTTTCTTTTGCACCAGGTAAACTTTATCGTCTCAAACGATCGATATAAAAGACTTTAATATATATATTTTTTAATATCTTTGCGTCAATGTTTATCACGGTCGGTCTCGCTCCGCGTGTACTTGGCGCGAGACACTACCGTGCCTCTTGATAACTTGATATAGTAACCCAGATTACATCCAACGCATTCGGAGCTCAATGTATTCTAATCATTATTGTAAAAGTTTCTTTGCTCTTTGCATTTTGTGCAATTATTCCTATATACGTACCTCTAAATCTGAACTTTCATCGTTAAATCTGTATTTTCGCCCTCTTAGTAAAATCGATTAGGGCTTCTACAGTAGCGATGCGGTATAAGAGGAGCGAAACGTGCTTGAACGCAAAGTGTTGTAACTCCGACGACGCAAAATTCCTTCGCGCGTGTAATCGCGCGCAAGCTTATTATCGTCATCCTTGCGAGCGTTTAATATTACCGTTTATTTTCGCGAACTTTGCGAGCGTACTGCGACCGGGAACGGAACTTACGCACCAGGCGTGGGATCGCGAAATAAACTT